TAAATATTTCAATATAATTAAAATAAAAAAAAATAACAATTTATATATTAACTGTTTTTGTCGGTCAGAAATTCACAGTAAAAATAAATATTTCAATATAATTAAAATAAAAAAAAATTATTTAACAATTTATATATTAACTGATTAATCTGTAGGTCAGAAATTCACAGTAAAAATAAATATTTAATTATAATTAAAATCGTATTTTTCAATTTATGATTTCATATATTACCTGATTTATCTCTAGTCGAGAAATTTATAGTAAAAATAAATACTTCATCCTAATTAAAATAGGATTTTTTGTTTATCAAATTATATATTAATTGATATATCTATAGGTGACTATAAATATTTCATTATAATAAAAAAAATATTTTTTACTTATAAATTCATATAATAATTGATATTTTAGGCTGGCAAAACATAGTAAAAATAAATCTTTCATTATAATGAGAATAAATAAAAACATTTATATATTAATTGATATATTAAAATTGATATATAAAAAAAATAATTTTAATTAAAATAGGATTTTTTGTTTATCTATTTATATATTAATTGATATGTTTTAGGCCAGGAATTGATAGTAAATAAAAAATAAAAATTAATATTTGTTATATATAAAATAGGAATTTTTTGTTTATCCATTTTTATTTTAATGTATTTCTGATTAAAACGAGTTAAAAAAAAAAAATATCGGCCGGGAATTCTTTCATGTTTCTGGAGAAAAATATTCGTCATATAATTAATGCTCCAAGTAAATTTTAATTTATCTTCAGTATTTATATGCATTTGTTTTAAAAAAAAGAATATTTACATTAAGTTAAATAATGTTATATCATTTGATACATCTCGATTTATAAAAAAAATAATAATAATGAATTTATGCACACATTTTATAATATATAAACATATGATTTTTAATCATAAAATTAATTTTAATATTTTTAGTGTAATATTCAATCTGTTATGAATACGTAGTTTAATGATTTTGCAATATGGTTAATTTGCGTGTCATACGCAAACTAAATATGTAATAAAAAATAACAAAATTTTGATAATTTTTCCAACAAATTCCTCTAATTCATTTACCACCATAATTCATTTACCACCACCCACCTTTCTTTGTGCCTCAGCGGCGAAACCGGATTTTGCAGCTCTGTTGTTAGCCATAATGATATGAAATGCACAAACGAATATTTATAACTGAATCACTGAAAACGTTATTTTATAGTTATCCTTATTGGATTTTTTTAAAAACTTTTGTTAAACGCGCGTTAACTTTCGATTGAACACAGAATAGTTGTCACCGCGTGTACAGGTCGCGTGCTTTGACAGCAATGCGCGGCAACGACGAGGGATCCTCCAGAGCACGCGATATACCGGACCAGCGGCTCATATAGTGGTGGGGCAGGTACAATAAGCGAACTAGGTTGAAAAATTTCAACCGTTCAATTTAACCGTTCTTTTTTCATAAATATAAACGTTAAACAAATTTGAATTTCAATCAATTCAAATAAATCGTTACAACTTGAAGATTGAACGGAAGTTACTTTACTTTTTCATGTTGCTCAGCCATCTGTACATGTACATGCTTACTTATCTATGATGCGGTACATAAGTTAAGTTTTCTACCTTATGTTTTAACAATTTAATTAATATCAAATTATATTCAATAAAATCCTAATTTATTTAATCTATTTTATTAACGTAGGGTATGTTATAGAAATCGCAAAAAATTAGCTAGTGGTGTATGGTATCGTAAATTGCTGGAACTTCCCGTACGAAAAATTAAGTTTTTAAAAAAGATTAAGTATGTTTTAAACTTTGAAAAAATTAGATTTTTGAGAAATTTTAAATTTTTGAAAAAAAATTCTTTTTTGGAATAAAATGTTTTTTTTTTAGTTTGCAATATTTTGAGTTAGTTTAGTTTTTAGTTTAGTTTATTTCTGTTTGATTACAATATATTACAATATAATATACAATAACCATGATTTATGAGTTTACTACTAAAAGTATTTTACTCTTATTTAATACTACAAACTATCCACTTTAAATTATACACTTTATTTAAAAATAAAATAATGGTTTGTGATCGAAAAAAAAGAAAGTTCAAACATTCTTCAAAAAAATAATCACAATTTTTAAATATATGAAATATTTTGAAAATTTTGAACTTTTTCTCAAAGCACTGCTTTAGCTGCATGGAGACGCAATATCGAATCACGTGAGCGCCGCGTCGCCATCTAACGGACAAACGATGTTACGAAACACATAGAAATGTAAACAAAATTGATACACAGTATTGAAATCTCAATAAAATATCTGATAATTTAATGTGCATATGTCTAATGATTTATTTTGACCTCAAAACGGCATTTTTTTACTTTTTTTTACTAGATCTTCGAAACTGCTAGACCTGCCTTCCCAAAATTAGTTCTTCTACTTGTCAATAGAAGTAAAATGTTTTTTGAATTATTAAAATCGGACGCTGCGTTCTCCTAAAAACTGAGTTGCCGTTTTTGGCACTTTTTGCCCCGTATCTTCGAAACGGCTATACTTGCCTATGCCAAAAACTAAGCAGCTCGTCTCCTTATTATTGGGAATCGAATGTTTTTTGAATAATTGAAATCGGTTGAACCGTTTTCCCGAAATCGTCCAGTATCTGCACACACACATACATGCATCCATTTTTTCTAAGGTATGCCAAAATGTTCAGAATTTCTAATAAGGAAGGTATGCCAAAATGTTCAGAAACCTCTGGAACGTAAAGATATATAAAAATTTTCATTTTCGACTTTTTGCAATTACTATAACTTGCCCTACGGGAAGTTAAAAATGATTTTTTTGCATATTTTTATGTTTCAAAGCATTTTGAACATTTTGGCATACTTACCAAAAAATTGATGTGTGTGTGTGCGAAAACAAATTTCGGGCATACGAATCAATCGATTTAAATGATTCAAAAAAAAACATTCGATCCGCATTGATAGAGTGCTGTTTAGTTTTTGGCAAAGACAGGTCAAGTCGTTTCGGAAATACGGGGCAAAAAATGACAAAACTAGTAATTTAGATTTTGAGATAACGGAGCGTCCAATTTGAATGGTTCAGAAAACATTTTAGTTGCTTTGACGAAATGAAGAACTGGTTTAATTTTTGGTAAGGCAGGTCCAGCGGTTTTGAAGATCCAATAAAAAAAAGTAAAAGAAAATGCCATTTGGCGGTCAAAATAATCAGTAGACACATGCAAATCAAATCATCAGATATTTTATAGAAATTTTAATAATAAATACAAATTTTGTTTACATTTCTATGAGTTCCGTACCAATGTTCATCTATTAGACTGCAACGCAGCGATTGCTTTGAAAAAAAGTTCAAAAATTTCAAAATGTAAAAAAATCAAATTTTTCAAAAAGTCAAATTTTAGAATTCTCAAAAATCTTTTTTCTTAAAGTTTAAAGATACTTTAAAAAATTAATTTTTGCTTTGGGAAGTTCCAGCAATTTGTCTTAAGGCATAATGCCATGCACCATTAGTTAGTTAGATTTAGTAAACCAACTGGCAGGTTGATGGCAGTATACTATGCTATAAATTAAAACATAACATTTAATATTTCTCAGTAACGTGTTCCGAATGTATAATTATAATTATATATAATGTTTACAATATATAATTATAATAAATGCACTTAAAATATATTATATATAAAATGGGGTATTCCATGTTGTTTGTAAAGATTGTGTGTCTCGTGTGAACGGGGTCGTGATTTCGAACCCCTCTCTGAGCAATCTAGCATCGTGCAGAAGCGATGTCCATTTTTACTTGAAAATATAGATAAAAGATATATTTCCAATTGAAAATATCCATTTAGGGCACTGCGGTGTGAAATGGAAATGGAAAATCTCTCACACTATTATTTCCTGAATCGAGTTGTAGTTTAACTCAGCTTATGAGCTGAGCCCATTATTTATTGTTTATATATAAATAATTCAATAAAATAACTATTGATATTTTTATTTATTGAATAATGTTGATTATTATTGCATATTTAAAAATTTCTATTTCTTTTAAATAATATTTTATTTGTCTTGATGAAACGTTTCAGGGATGCAATAAAAAATACTAAAAAAAATCCTATTTGTCGGTCAAAAATGATCATTAGACTTATGCACATAAAATTATCGAACATTTTATAGAAATTTTAATAAGTACAAATTTTGTTTACATTTATGTAGGTTCTGTAACTTGTTTCTAAAACAGCTACGCTAAAAAGTTTAAAATTTTCAAAAAAAATCAAAATGTAACACAAAAATTGTTTTTTTTTTAAAAAAGTCAAATTTTTTCAAAAATTTCAAAATTCTCAGTAATCTTAATTTTTCAGTTGTTAAAAAATGTTAAAGCTTTTTAATAGGACTAGCAATTTGCCTTAAGGCACAATGCCATGCACCACTAGTTAATTTATTTTGTTTACACAATTTTATTAATAATAAATGATTTTAGTTGTAATAAATAACAAATATGTGTTATTATATTTCATTGAACATCTCTTTCATATAATATATTTCTATAGATAGTGAATAAAATTAAATTTATTGCACTCTTTAAAAATTGTAGTATTCAATAACTGATTACAGATTTATACTTTGTTTTTTTATCTCATTATTTTAAATATTAATGCATTTTACCGTTTAATTAATTTATTAACAAATTAAATATTAATTAAATAAACCCTATTATGTAACAGCACTAAACAAATGATAAATGAAAATTGTAAATCAACTTTTAATCAAACGGAATTATATTGTGAAATATAAATAATAATTAATAGTTATTTTCTAATTTACTATAATCGAAACTGCATCTGAAATATTTGAATTTGAATCGGCCGCCCTTTCCTTGATGTTGGTACTGCAACTGCGTATTCAACAGTTGGTATTCGGTTTACAGATTCGCAAGGTTTGCATGCTACTCCTAACCAAAAAACACATTTTTGATAAGTTCGTTAGTGGCTTCTGTCGGATCTTAATTTTTAATTCAATCTTACATTTGCAGGGTCAAATAATTTAACTATTTTTATTTAATACAGATTCTAACGATAATCTTTTATTTTGTAATATGTCTGAAGAAGGAACAACGAGAAGTAAGTGAATTTCATGCAATAACTATCTGGACATTATTATTAAGACATATTCTTACATTACATTGCCTTTTATAACAGGAACTACGAGGTCGCTTGCCAGGCGGCTGAGTACTGATTCAATATCGCCTCCAGCTGCAGGGACTCCTGGCAAAAAAGCGAGGGCTTCAAGAGTTACGGGGTTGCCGTCTATTGCAGAAACTAAACGTAAGATTTGTTTATTTATTCTTGTATAAACAACCATATAGAGACCTTGAAACATGAAAGTACTAAGTACCAACAGCTATCGATTAAACATTATGAACGACTAGTTTATTTACTCTGACATACAGTTTTTCATTATGAACTTCAAATACAATTTTCGTTTTTTTCACATAATTTTCTGTTTGTATGTTGTTTTCTTTATTAAATACTGCAATTAGACACATAAATAAATGTTCCTTGTTTACAATCTAGAGTATATAGTGTTTTCATTAATAATTAACAATTTAGAAGCTTTATTTATATTTGTTTTATCATATATCAGTTATGCTACATTTTTAATTTTTTACAGCGAAAGCAGTTAGCACTCGTAAATCCCGAAGATTAAGTACTGACTTAAATTTAGAAGAGCCTGGAAGCAGACCCTCAACACCTATATCAACTGAAAGGCGTCGTTCTCGCCGACTAAGTATTGACTTAGATGAACAAAGACCACAATCTGTATCAACTCTCCCAATTGTGGAAGTTATACAAGAAGAGGAAGACATCAATATTTTAGCAATGAAAGATGATATTAATAATAAACCAGGTATGAGTGTTGTTGATCAGTTTGCTGTAACACCTAGTACTTCAGTAACAGATTCTGTGATGAAAGAAACGTTAGAGAATTCTGAAAGTAAGTTAACTTTGGGCAACCAATCGGATGTAAAAGAATCAATTACTGAAAAAGAAGTTGATAAAGAATCTGATGAAGTATTTACAGATCATATAGAGAAAGCAGGTGTTCAAGATGAGGACAAAAAATCTGATGTTGATAAATCTTCTCCTGATAAACCATTATCTTCAAATGATTATATTCCAGAACCTATGGAAGTTGATACAACTGACCAAGATATGATAAAAACAGTTACTAATAAAGATAATCTTGTTGAAGAAGAAACGAATACCCAACAAGTTTCAAATACATCCTATTCTTCTGACAGCTCTAATGTATCTACACGTTCTAAAACCAAATTGAGGATATCCACTAGTGCAGATGATCTAACTAAAGATTCAGTTTCTTCGGATTTGAAAAAAATTGATTTAGATTCATCAGCTAGTTCTGGTAAAGAACTAAACATATCTACACGATCTAGAAGGAGTCTAAATGATTCGCAAATAAAGGAAATCAATAAATTAGCTGATAGTAAACCTTCTGAGGAATGTAATATTTCTACAAGATCTAAATCCAAGTTAAATGCATCTAATGCTTCTCAGAAAGATACAAGTATTAGTACAAAAGATACTGATACAATTAATAGTGAAGGAAGCCCCAATGTAGGAAATATATCGACCAGATCAAAATCTAAATTGAATGTATCTGATTCAAAGAATAAAAGTGCACTTAGTATTTCTGTGAATGAAGAATCTAATGAAATGCAAGTTGTTATGGGTAAGATTCTTTTTTTTTTATTTATCACAAAATAGTCACTTCAATACTTTCCTCTTTTATTACATGGAAATATGCTGATTCAAAAATAAACATTATTTATATATTATATATATATATATATATATATATATAGTTTATAGAAGGTGAATTCTTTGCTCTAAACCTCAATTGTTTATTTTATTTCATTTCAATGTAGATAAAGGAGATTCTGTAAAAAGTAGTCCAAGAAGTGATTCGAGTGCTACAGAAGATGCTGATAAAACCGCTGAACTAAAAAATGATTTTAATATTTCCACCAGATCAAGATCAAAATTAAATGCATCTACTGTTGCAAATAAAAGTACAATCAATACTGACTCACCAAAGAAAGCGACAAATGATACAGTGATGTCAAATTCTTCAGGTATTACCTGAATTAGTATTTAGAATTTCACTGTTTATGAGAGCATACTTTTATCTATGTATAATTTTAATATTTTAATATTTTAGATAAAAATTCAAACCAGAGTACTGCTGAAGTGATTGTCGATGCTACACAAAAAATAAAAGATGAAGCAGAATATGCCGAATTTGAACGTAGCTTAAACTCTTCTGCAGAAGAAGCTAGGAAAGAAAATATTTCTGGTCATAATTCTAATGATCAAACACCAAAACTAATTATTGATGATTCTTTTGATCCTGATGATAGTTCGGTGATCACCAAAGCACAAGGCAAAGATTTCAAAGGTTTGTTAAATAAATCAGATATTGTAAAAAGGTCTCTTACTGATAACAGTAAAAATGAAACTTCCCAATTATTAGATGGGAAAAACGATTTGAGTTGTAATAAAGAAAATATTGAAATTATAAATAAATCAGATGCAAATGATGTCAGCGTCAAAAGCATTACAACAAGATCTAATAAAAGTCAAATCATAATTGATGTATCAATGAAAAATGAAGAAAATTTGGAAGTTCTTGATAAAGAAACTAATAAATCTGTAAAGGAAGTGATAGAAATATATGAAAAAATTGATAGTGGTGGTCCATTAGAAGTGAAACAAACTTCACTAATTGCTTGTTCAACTCCAAAAATGAAGAAATTAGAAGCTGTTGATTATAAGGAGATAACAAACCAAATTAGTGATAATGAATCACTAAAATCTAGTGTTAAGGATAGCATATCCTACATCGATAATGATGCTCACAAATCTGAAAAAACTGATTTAGAGACTGTTACTACTGAATCTAGTGCAGAAGTTGTTCATGAAGAAGAAACCTCAAGGATGGAATTTGATAATGTTTCTCCAAGTAAGAAATTAGCTGTTGATAACTCTGAAAGTCATGAAAATGAAACTACCGCCAATCCTTTAAATGAAGAGTGTAATCAAACAAATTTAGTGGATAATTTATTAAATCAAGATAATGCCGCTAATTTAGAAAATGTTAACTCTGAAACTCATGAAAATGATACTATCGCCAAATCTGTAAATGAAGAGCGTAATCAAACAAATTTAGTGGATAATTTATCAAAGCAAGGTAATGCCGCTAATTTAGAAAATGTTAATGAGATAAGTACAAAAATTGTAAATGATGAAACTAATATCAACAAGTCCTTAGAGAAACATGAAACAATTTCCGCTCTACCAGAACATGTTGTTAAATCTGATGATGCTTCTTCTATAAATATAATTAGCACTGATTCAAGTAAATGCAGTACCCCAAAGTCTGCTCAAGTACTTCTTATATCAGATGAATCTGATCAAGAAAATGCTGATGAGATGATTTCGAATGAAAAAACTCCTTTGAGGGATGATAATGATGAGCCTGTATTAAAAACACCCATTTCCATACAAAGCTCTATCTTATCTATTAGTTCATCTAAATCTGGCTCAATATCAAAGTCAAAAAATCCAAGTGTTAATACATCTGATATTGACGAAGAACGTAAGTCTCCTGATCTTGTGGAAAAGGGCAAGAATTCTAATGGTGACAACACATCTGACAAAGTCACTTTATTGCTATCTGATGGATCAGATGCAGAATCTGATAATGGAAAAGAGTATTTGAATTTGAACTCCGACTCAGATAGCAGTGGTTTTGTTAATAACGAAGCCAAAGATGTAGGTGAAGATTATCAGTCACATGATTCCATGGATGAAAATGAAAGAGCTGAAATAGAGGAAAATGAAATAGTTGATCGTGGAGAGTCTTTACATTCTTCTGATGAAGAAGATAACGAACCTGATGATTATGAACATGATTCATTCTGTGTAGAAAGCAGGTCAGAGGATGAAGAACTTCTGGAAGGTGCTTCTGATGACTTAGATTCTAGATCCAGCAGTGGTCTGAGTGACTTGTCACAAAGCCAGAAGTCTAAAGAGAAATATAATAAGAAAGAAAAGCAGAAGAAAAGGAAATCATTTGTATTAAATTCTTCTAGTGATGCGGAAGGTAAGAATGAGGAAAATAATGATGGTGAAGCTGACAATAAGATACAGAATGAATGTGGTGAGGTCGATGAATGTATTGATGTCATTTCTGATGATGACAGTGTCGATGAAGAAATTCAATGTAAATATACAGAGGTGCTAAAGAATCTTATTTCTCAACACGGAGAAACTGAAAGCCAAGGTATTTATTTTACCCATATCATGAGTTTTGTTTTTAACATGTTTTTTGATATTTTTTTCTCATTTTATTAAATTGATTTTCTTACACATTTTTTTAGAATCTGCTACTTCTCAAGAAAGTACAGAACAATCTGAAAAGAACTGTGCGGATACTGATGTTGAAGTTACAAAACCAGCAGAATTGGCTGAAATTACAGAACTATCAGAATCGGCTGAAATTACAGAACCATCAAAATCAGCTGAAGTAACAGGACCATCAGAATCGGCTGAAGTTACAGGACTATCGGATTCAGCTGAAGTTACAGGACCGTCGGAATCAGCTGAAGTTACAGGACCATCGGAATCAGCTGAAGTTTCAGGACCATCGGAATCAGCTGAAGTTTCAGGACCATCGGAATCAGCTGAAGTTTCAGGACCATCGGATTCAGCTGAAGTTACAGGACCATCGGATTCAGCTGAAGTTACAGGACCATTGGATTCAGCTGAAGTTAAAAGATCAGAATCAGCTGAAGTTACAGAACCAGCAGAGTCAGTTGAAGATCAACAGTCCAAATCATCTGAAACAGCAGAAACAATTGAAAGTGTATCTCAGGTTATGGTTAAAAATCCTGTACGATCTAATGTTAACAAACCTGCTGATCAAAAGAAATCTAAAAGTAGTAAGTATTTTTGTTTTTTTAAAGTTTCATGTTTTTTGCACCTATTTTTAGTTACCATCCACAATAACATATTATTATTAAATACCATATTCGTTTTATACTTTATATGTTTTGTTGTTGCTTATATAAATTGGTAAATGCATCTATTTAGGTATGGTAGATCCCAACAAAATAGACATATCTAAAATTCAAGCTACTTGTGAGCAAATACTGAGTAAAGAAAATGAGAAGAAACGCATTCGCAGAGAAAGTGATAACCAGACAAAGAAACAAAAGGTTCTTTGAAAATATAATAATGAAATATCTTTCTCTTCTCTAATTACTTTTTCTGTGATATATCTATATATAATTTTCAGAAACCAAGTGACAAGAAATTGAAACGTCTTCCTGAAGCTACTCTGGAAGAACTAAATGAAGAGACTGAATTACATATACCAAACCAGTCCTGTAGTAACCCAAAGAAACAAAAGAGGACAAATGAAAAATCCAGTGAACCTCAAAGTTGTGTACAGAATGAACTGACTGAGAAAATGAAAGTTAAAGCATCCACAAAAGAAATAAAGGTATGGAAAAGATTTAATTAGTTTTAACTATGTGTAGATTAGACGGAGTAAAAACTTGGTTTTGTCATTACTTAGAAAGTATACACAAATGATTAATTAGTTCAATCTCTTGCAATAATAATAAACATAAAAATATATACTCATTGAGAGTACTATTTTAGCAGCTCAGAATATAGAATTCAGTAACAGAAAAATGTTTATTTTGTTATAGCATACGTCATCAAAATATTTGAATCAAATGCAAATGTGTTGAATCCTTGTTTTTCTTTTTAGACTGAAAATAAGAAGAATTCAAAAACTGCTGCCCCTACAATGAAGGATAAAAAGGTAATATGAAAACCACCACCCTTATGTTTTTTTTTTAAATTATTGTAAAATCTTTTTGAATTGTACAACCTTTTTCTATAGTTTTATCTAAATGTTTGGATAACACTTAAATATTGATATGCATAATTCTTTTAATTTTTTTTATTATCTGTTATATTAAAATGATAGTTCTACAATAGTTACAGCAAAACAAACTATTCACAATCAGCAATTTCAAGTTTATTACTATTTTATTCTATGTAGGACTTTTTTTATTATTGTGAATCTGTATCTATATTTTAGGTTAAAGAAAGCAAACACGTTTCCAAGAACATGCTGAATGAAATAAGTAATACCACACTTCATAAAACCAAAAAGAATTCAAAATCTTCTATGAAGACAGATGTTTGTAATGCCACAACGAGTTTCCAAGTTTCACCAGTTAACAACAAAAGGAAACTTAACTCTGACTTGCCTCATGATTGTGGCTTCCAAGTTAAGAAAGTTAATTCTAAAACCATTGAAGCATCTAATGTCGGCTGCACGACAGTCTTTAAAATTGAAAGCTCGAGCACCTACTTAAAGAACATAAATGCCGCTGCGAGTGATTTGGCTAATTTTAAAGAAAATACTTTATTTAAGGGTCAAATCAAAAGACAAAAAAAAGGCTTAATATATTCCTATCGAAATAAGCAATCAGCAATGGCTTCAAGAAGATAATTGTGCTGTTTTGTTGTTGATTGTTTTTTAATTTTTATGATTGTTTTATATATTGTTAATAATTAAGCTTTTAATAAAGCATTTTGATATACATCAGAGAACAAGAATTTTTTTACAATAGATCTTAGTCTATTTTTAGGTATATAAGCTCCATAATGTTACAACAAAATGTTTTATTATTCAAAAATTTTTTTTTGAAGATTTTAATGAATTTTAACATTTCAATATGGTTCTTAATCTAACTACAAATCCTTGAATATTACATTTCTATGAAAAGTGGTTGAATTATAAAATATTAAGTTTGGAATAGTGAGCTGCCCTTTTAAGGCATATAAGCTCATTTTTGTACACTTTAGTTAATACAATTATGGGTATTATAAATTTAAAAGCAATCAATCGGGAATCATTTGGATTGTTTTCTTATTTTTGATATTGTGGAAGTTTAACTATTTCAGAATGTAATCAAGATTTTTCAAAACTCAAATTATTTTAGATATTGACAATGATATATATAATATATATATATATATATATTTTTTTTTTATAGAGTTTCGAACAAGAATCCAAAAATTGATAAAAAACAAAAAAAGTTTTTTAATAAACTATTTTTTTTATTTATTTACTGTCGACGTTTTGGAACTAGATACGTTCCATCTTCAGGACATCTGTCAAGAAACTTGATCTAAAACAAGATTTAAGCAAACAATATGTTTAAGAAAAGCAGATGGATTTTTTAATTATAGAGAGAGGGAGGGATTTAAAAATATTTTGTAGAGCTTCGAGACAAAGAATCCAGAAAGTAATAAAAAGCAAAAAAGTTTAAAAAAAACATTTATTTATTTACTGTTGACGTTTTGGAACTAGGTATATTTCATCTTCAGGACATGTGTCAAAAAACAGGAATAAAATCAAAATTTTTAGTGAAAAAGTGTTAGTCTATAATCAATCATACAGGTAATTGATTCTGTTTTTCTCGTAACCTTTTTTTAAAACTCTAACTTTAAATCATTTCTAATATTTTGTTATATAATCCACTGAATTATCATTTTTATTTTGATTATATTGTCATATTTCTGTACATAGTCTTTTCCACATTTTATTCATTTTATATAAAAAAAAATTCACCATCTTCTGCTTGTCTTAAACATATTGTTTTCTTAAATCTTATCAAGATCATGTTTCTTGACAGATGTCCTGAAGATGGAACGTACCTATTTCCGAAACGTCGACAGTAAGTAAATAAAAAAATGGTTTTTGAAAAACTTGTTTTTATTACTTTTTGGATTCTTTGTTCAAAGCTCTATATATATATATATATATATATATATATATATATATATATATATATATATATATTCAGATTCAGCTGAAATCAGGTATGGTCAGGTGTTAAATTTTTTGAGACACCTGACTTCATTACCTTCTAAAATTAGAACTTTATGACTATTTTAATTTTTGATCTTGATTCTCAAAATAGTTTGTAAAAAAATATATAGCAAAATTATAGTTTCTCTTCAAAAATCAAATAAATATTATGCCTCTAGATCAGAATATCCCACTACTTATATCAGGAACTTCATACAACTTGCCTTAAGGTAAAATGCTGCTTACTTCATGGTGATTTTTCAAAATCTTCAACTTCAGTTTGTTTGGAATATCTATTTAAGTATACTTAAATATATTTATTTTTGTGACAGTTTTTTTTATCAAGTACAAGTGTTAAAAAAAACATTCATCTCTAAATTCTTCAATTACAAATTGTTGATAAGTAGTCAGGTAAGTAACTTTATTCTAAATTAAATTATTTCCAGAAACTAGCAGATGACAATTTTTAGAAACAATTAGTTAAGTATTTAAAATTTTTCCCAATGTTTTTCTATTATATTAAACTTTCAGATAGAAAAACAAATTCAAAAGTGTAAATTGCATGTATTTAACTAAAAACATAATTCAAAATTAACAAGTATAAATAAACATGCTACAGAAGTTTCATAACTGCCCTATAATTTTTTTTATAAAACGCTATTAGATTTATCTATTGAATTTATTTCTTCGCCAGGAGAAATGATATCCTTCTCACAACCTTCTGTTGAAACATCAGCAGCTACTGCTTTATTGTCTATACATGCCTCATTTTCCTTTTCATGTTGTTCGTTACTCTCAATTTGAGGAATTGTAGAACTAGATTCTGGAGTCTTATCGTCAACTTTACAATTGTCTTCGCTATTTAAGTTTAATTTATTTGGGTCTTCTGTGTTTTTCTTTTTTTTATTTCTCTTCTCTTGCTTCTTGTCTGGAGTTTTGTTTGCAGATGTGATGGAACTCAGCTGACCCTGAAGCTCTGCTAAATTCTGTTTAAGTTCCATGCAATTTAAAGCCATTTGGTCCAACTTTTTATCTTCAGATTTTATCTCAACAAGAGGTTCCGCTTCAACTTCAGGAACAATAGGGCGCTCAATTCCTTTAGCTTTCAAAGTAGCTAGATATGCAGATCTTTCAGCCTGAATGAATTTAAATAATGTACATTAAATAAGTTATGAATCATTCTATAATATATGAATGAGTAAAATTATGATTTTGAATTGATTTAATAGCACTATTTAACCATCATTAATAATCACCTGTAGTGTCCGACACAACTTCTGAAGCTGTCTCAATTGACGTTGTGCAAGGCTCAAGTCATTGACCTGTTTCTGCTTTTCTGAAGCCATATTTAAAAGAGCAGTTTGACTGTTTTCCCATCGAAGTTTCCAAGACAGAGTTTCCTTTTCCAGTTTCACAATCTTCTTAGACATCTGGACAAAAAGTAAGTAAAATTTGTTTTAATTTCAAATTTCTTAGATACACTATTTTAATAAAAGAGTTCACTATATAAACTATATTAATAGATCACTATATAAATAAATAAATTTAATAAATAAAAAAATATATATAAAATAAATCTTCACACAAAATCACATTTATAAAAATAATGTATGGCCCAATGACGGTTTGATGATATTCATTATATCAATACTATCATATAATTTATAAAAGTATATAAATTTGCAATACCTTATCCATCTCGGTTTTGAATCCCCCAAACACTTGATTGCTTCTCTGGAGTGAATTTTGAAATTCATCATATTTATCGGTGTACATAGCTATTTGAGCCCTTAGAGCAGTTTCTAGAACCTCCTTTTCTTTAAGTTTACCCTGATATGCTTTTAATTCAATAAGAAGCTGTTGTTTTTCTTGCATGAACAGTTCTTTATCAGCCAAAGCTTCAGTCTGTGCCTTTGCTAGTTTTGCCTCTGCTAATTTATTTTGAAGATCCATTTGCTTTGCCATTTTTTCTACCTAGGAGTAATGGAAAATAATAAGATAATAGTATTTTAAGGGGGTTTTCTAGCGTAGAAATTCAAAAAAATAGTTTTTCTCTTTTTCCAAATTTTCAAAGTATAACAAGGTGTATGAGAAGATTTTTTAAAATTTAATTTTCGAGATACAGCTATTCATGACATCATTCAGACCATGATAATTCTCTTCTGTACCCTTCCTTTTGCAAAACTTTAAATGCGTTTTTCTCAAAACTATCTTTTTCAATATGACGCCCACGATTTCTCGAGTTCTACTAAACCAATTTACTTGAAATTGGAGAATCTTCTTTATAGACTTCTCTCTAGCATATACTAGCCTCATCTCTGAATTTTAATTTTTACTAGTTTTAAAAAAGTTTAACTCCAAGAAGTGTTAAGAAATTGATTCTTTTTTTCAAACAGTCACCATTTTGTCAATAATTTTTTAGTATATAACTAAATTCTAGTATATACCATAGCGACATCATTCTAGATTAATAATATTTAACTTTTCGTAGGGTATGTTATATTAATCGCAAAAAAATCGAAAATAATTTTTTTATGTACCTTTACGTTTCAGAGGTTTCTCAACATTTTAGCATACCTTAGAAAAAATGGATGTATGTGTGTGTGCGGATACAAATTTTTGTCGACGATTTCGGGAACACCGATCAACCGATTTGAATAATTCAAAAAACATTCGATTTGTATTGATAAGGAGACGTTCTCATTAGTTTTTTGCAAAGACAGGTCTAGTCGTTCCGAAGATACGGGGCAAAAAGTGCCAAAAACCGTAACTCAGTTTTTAAGAGAACGGAGCGTCCGATTTTAATAATTCAAAAAACATTTTACTTGTATTGATGAAATGAACAACTGGTGAAATTTTTGTAAAGGCAGGTCTGGCGGTTATGGACTCTCAATAAAAATAAGTTAAAAGATGTCATTTGGCGGTTAAAAATGATTATTGGTACATCAAATTATCAGATATTGTATAGAGATTTTAATAATGTGTACACATTTTGTGTAAACTTTTTTGGGTTCCGTACCAAGATTTTTAATTATGGTACGGGAAGTTCCAGCAATTTGCCTTAAGGCACGATGCCATGCACCTCACTAGTTATTGTTTTTATTTTGGATCATGTGTCAACTTTTTGAAACCCCTCACTTCAAGCACTTCTAAATTTTAAAATTATCAACTTTATTGTTTTAACTCTTCTATGTGCTCTCGTAATGTTGATAAAAAAACTATAAAAAAGATGATAGTATTAAAAATGATTGCCTTTTTTATAATGATTTAAAAATGACCTAAAATTCATGCCTTTGCATTAGAATACCATCTTAATTTATATCAAATTTCTGGATATTTATTAAAGTATATGGGTATAAAACGTTAAGTGATTTAATAATATGTATTCTTCATATTATAACTAAAAATTTATTATATAAAGCATATTTATACCACTTTACCTTAAATTTATACAACCATTATTCGCAAAATGTAGTTTTTTTTATGATGATTTAAAAATGAACTTAAATTACACTAGAATACCCCTTTAATGAGAAGTGTGTAGAAATTGCTAAAATATTTTCACATGATTTTAACAAATTATAAATAATCAGATAATCTACATTTACAAGATTGTTAGACAATATATGCTCTACCCTGTTCAGTTTGAAACATGAAACAGAATTCAGCATATTATATTTACCTGTTGTTCTCGAACCTCGTATTGTTCAACAATTGTTTGAAACTTTT